AAAACAGGAGCAAAATGCTTCTGTTTTAAATTGGGTTTTTGTAACAGGAAAACCCCTATCTGCAGAATTTAAAAATGCTGGTGGGCCCATTTTCCTCTGCACTGGTGTTTTTCCTTTTTGTTTATAAATAAGATTTTACTTTGGAACGTTAAACATCTTGGCTGCTTTTTCATCAGATAAACCCCTACTTCTTACATCGAGTCTTTTGAAGATCTTCTTCACTATTTTTAAACTTAGGCTTCGTTGTCATATTGGTACTGATAAAATGTTAACCTGTTTCATATTTGCTAGATTTTCCATATAGTTTTTCATTGTTTGATAATTGACCACTATAACAGTCAGCGTCTGACCAACCTTTTATCCTTTTAATTTTACAGACTCATTACTGCTTAAGTGCGGTCAATTACTTTTATTGTTATAAAAAAGGTTTAAAAAATTAAAAAAGAAACAAACATTTACACTTATATTTATATTACGCTTAAATATTTATAAAATTTAAAATCGGTTAAAAAACTCATAATTGACCGCATATTTAAACTAATTGTATCTTACTTTTAAAGTATAAAAGTTTTGGTCAAATACTAAACAACTTAAACGGGAAGATATAAGTTTTAAAAACAGGTATTACACATTTTTCCATTTTATTAATCAAATATAAATCCTTGTGAGATTATAAAACAACCAATTCGTCTAGTATTTGACCGTTTGGTCAAACACTAATTTTTAATTAAATTTAGAACTGCCAGTCATTGACCGGCTTTATTTCAACAAATAATTAATTAAAGCGGTATTTTTTTAATATAACCAATAGAAAACATTATTAGATCACTGGCAAACAAATAAAAAACATCATACATGCAAAAACGGCTGAATAGTACTACCCTGTTTAGGCGAATTTCTAAACATAAAAATTACGCTTTTTAGCACGATGCGAATAGGTCGGTAGTTAGCGCGAAATTAAACAACAAAAACTCAAGAACGGGTATGGTCGTGGACTTTTTGTGTACTAGGGGACGGAGAGGAGAGACTGGTGGCTATTTATGGATATATTTATATTTTTTTAGATATTCCTTGGATCCTTATTTTTTACATTTTTTTACAAAAACGGTCAAACACTGACCAACGGTCAATTACTGGCGTTTTACCCTATTAACACAAAACTAAGATATCGTATCTCAAAAACCAGTGGGGGTATCATGTTGATATACGATGCATTTTAAAGCAAATTTAATCTAGTTTTAGTGTACCATAAATAATTTATTAGTTTCTATAAACTTGATTGTTACGATTTCTTGAATTAGACACGGTTCATTTTAGTACTTATAAAACTGATTAAATCGTATCTCCGAAACTAATTGCGATATCATAGTGAGATATTCATCATTTTAAAGCTAAGTTAATGTATTTTTAGTGTGCCATAAATAAATTCTTAGTTCCCTTAAATCTGGTTGCAACGACTTTTTTAATTAAACTCTGCACGATTAATAAATTTTGATGTATTAACACAAAACTAAGATATCGTATCTCAAAAACTAGTGGGGGTATCATGATGATATAAGAAACATTTTAAAGCAAATTTAATCTAGTTTTAGTGTACCATAAATAATTTATTAGTTTCTATAAACTTGATTGTTACGATTTCTTGAATTAGACACTGTTCATTTTAGTATTTATACAATTGATTAAATCGTATCTCAGAAACTAATTGCGATATCATAGTGAGATATTCGTCATTTTAAAGCTAAGTTAATGTATTTTTAGTGTGCCATAAATAAATTCTTAGTTCCCTTAAATCTGGTTGCAACGACTTTTTTAATTAAACTCTGCACGATTAATAAATTTTGATGTATTAACACAAAACTAGGATATCGTATCTCAAAAACTAGTGGGGGCATCATGATGATATGAGAAGCATTTTTAAGCAAATTTAATCTAGTTTTAGTGTACCATAAATAATTTATTAGTTTCTATAAACTTGATTGTTACGATTTCTTGAATTGGGCACTGTTCATTTTAGTATTTATACAATTGATGAAATCGTATCTCAGAACTAATTGCGATGTCATAGTGAGATATTCGTCATTTTAAAGCTAAGTTAATGTATTTTTAGTGTGCCATAAATAAATTCTTAGTTCCTTTAAATCTGGTTGCAACGACTTTTTTAATTAAACTGTGCACGATTAATAAATTTTGATGTATAAAACAAAACTAAGATATTGTATCTCAAAAACTAGTGTGGGTATGATGATGATATAAGAAACAGTTTAAAGCAAATTTAATCTAGTTTTAGTGTACCATAAATAATTTATTAGTTTCTATAAACTTTATTGTTACGATTTCTTAAATTAGACACTGTTCATTTTGGTAGTTAAAAAATTGATTAAATGGTATTTCAGAAAGTAATTGCGATATCATAGTGAGATATTCGTCATTTTAAAGCTAAGTTAATGTATTTTTAGTGTGCCATAAATAAATTCTTAGTTCCCATAAATCTTGTTACAATGATTTTTTTAATTAAACTCTGCACGATTAATAAATTTTGATGTGTTAACAAAAATATAAGATATCGTACCTCAAAAATTAGTGGGGGTGTCATGATGATATGAGAAGCATTTTAAAGCAAATTTAATCTAGTTTTAGTATACCATGAATAATTTATTAGTTTCTATAAACTTGATTGTTACGATTTTTTGAATTAGACACTGTTCATTTTAGTATTTATACAATTGATTAAATCGTATCTCAGAAACTAATAGCGATATCATAGTGATATATTCGTCATTTTACAGCTAAATTAATGTATTTTTAGTGTGTCATAAATAAATTCTTAGTTCCCATAAATCTTGTTACAATGATTTTTTTAATTAAACTCTGCACGATTAATAAATTTTGATCAATTAACACAAATCTAAAATATCGTATCTCAAAAACCAGTTGGGGTGTCATAATGATATAAGAGACATTTTAAAGCAAATTTAATCTAGTTTTAGTGCACCATGAATAATTTATTAGTTTCAATAAACTTGATTGTTACGATTTTTTGAATTAGACACTGTTCATTTTAGTACTTATAAAACTGATTAAGTCGTATCTTCGAAACTAATTCAGATATCATAGTGAGATATTCATTCGTCATTTTAAAGCTAAGTTAATGTATTTTTAGTGTGCCATAAATAAATTCTTAGTTCCCTTAAATCTGGTTGCAACGACTTTTTTAATTAAACTCTGCACGATTAATAAATTTTGATCAATTAACACAAATCTAAAATATCGTATCTCAAAAACCAGTTGGGGTGTCATAATGATATAAGAGACATTTTAAAGCAAATTTAATCTAGTTTTAGTGCATAAATAATTTATTAGTTTCTATAAACTTGATTGTTACGATTTCTTGAATTAGACACTGTACATTTTAGTACTTATACAATTGATTAAATCGTATCTCAGAAACTAATTGCGATATCATAGTGAGATATTCGTCATTTTAAAGCTGAGTTAATGTATTTTTAGCGTGCCATAAATAAATTCTTAGTTCCCTTAAATCTGGTTGCACCGACTTTTTTAATTAAACTCTGCACGATTAATAAATTTTGATGTATTAACACAAATCTAAGATATCGTATCTCAAAAACCAGCGGGGGTATCATGTTGATATAAGAGGCATTTTAAAGCAAATTTAATCTAGTTTTAGTGTACCATAAATAATTTATTAGTTTCTATAAACTTGATTGTTACGATTTCTTGAATTAGACACTGTTCATTTTAGTATTTATACAATTGATTAAATCGTATCTCAGAAACTAATAGCGATATCATAGTGAGATATTCGTCATTTTAAAGCTAAGTTAATGTATTTTTAGTGTGCCATAAATAAATTCTTAGTTCCCTTAAATCTGGTTGCAACGACTTTTTTAATTAAACCCTGCACGATTAATAAATTTTGATGTATTAACACAAAACTAAGATATCCTATCTCAAAAACTAGTAGGGGTATCATGTTGATATAAGAGGCATTTTAAAGCAAATTTAATCTAGTTTTAGTGTACCATAAATAATTTATTAGTTTCTATAAACTTGATTGTTACGATTTCTTGAATTAGACACTGTTCATTTTGGTAGTTAAAAAATTGATTAAATGGTATTTCAGAAAATAATTGCGATATCATAGTGAGATATTCGTCATTTTAAAGCTAAGTTAATGTATTTTTAGCGTGCCATAAATAAATTCTTAGTTCCCTTAAATCTGGTAGCAATGATTTTTTTAATTAAACTCTGCACGATTAATAATTTTGATATATTAACACAAAACTAAGATATCGTATCTCAAAAACTAATGGGGGTATCATGATGATATAAGAAACATTTTAAAGCAAATTTAATCTAGTTTTAGTGTACCATAAATAATTTATTAGTTTCTATAAACTTGATTGTTACGATTTCTTGAATTAGACACTGTTCTTTTTAGTATTTATACAATTGATTAAATCGTATCTCAGAAACTAATTGCGATATCATAGTGAGATATTCGTCATTTTAAAGCTAAGTTAATGTATTTTTAGTGTGCCATAAATAAATTCTTAGTTCCCTTAAATCTGGTTGCAACGACTTTTTTAATTAAACTCTGCACGATTAATAAATTTTGATGTATTAACACAAAACTAAGATATCCTATCTCAAAAACTAGTAGGGGTATCATGATGATATAAGGAGCATTTTAAAGCAAATTCGATGAAAATTTAATGTGCCATAAAGGATTTTTTATTTTCCGTAAACATAATTGTTATGATTTTTTAAATCCAACTCTGCTTGTTTTACCGATTTTTAGCATAGGAAGTGATTAGATATAACAAATTGTTTTATTATCAATTTAAAATAATAAAAAATATTAACAAAGCGTTTCAAACAAATTTCCGAGAATTAAAATGCGCAGTATTCCAATCATAATGAATCATAACGCATATCTGGTCTAATAACAAACATCATAGATGAGACATACCTATAAATACCAACTAACATCTCGAATCGTTAGCAATCAACTTACATCGCTCGATGAAGTTGGTTGTTCACCATCATTCCATTCATAAAGTAAGTAATTTAAACTCTTTTTTAATTAATAGTTTCTATTAATAGTTTATTTTTCTTATTGTTAGTTCCGTTGCAACTTTCTTTTGGAACCATTTATCATCAAAATTTCAATAGAGCCTTTTTTTCTGTTGGTCGGAAGTTTGGGTCAGCCCAAGCTTCGGCCGGGTGTCCATCCCAGATGGGAGGGTCTGCATAAACGTCTTTAAGGCATCATTTTGGTGGCGTCTTCTTGACGCTCGTGCACCTTACTCGCTGAGAACATTAACATCAATTATGACACCATTAAACACTTTTTTTTATTATTACTTTATTACTACTTCATAACTCTACAATTTATTGGTATTGAATGTATTGAACAAGTTAATATAAAGATGGCCTTCAGAATTGAAACTATATAGAAAAAAGGAATCAATCATTGATATTAAACTATATAAAATAAGTATAAACCACATCATAAGTATTATTTAGAAGACTATAAATCGAGTATTATTAAGACATGACTTAAAAAATCAACTATTATTAACAAACAAGACTATAAATCAAGTATTGTTGAGACATGGAATTATGAGAGACTACAATCGTTGCTACAAGGAAATACAAGTACCCCGTAAGGAGGGTGCTCCCTTTGAGCATACCTGGAAGGAACTTTAAGTTCCTCGCCAATATGGAGTTAACACAAGACTCCAATATCAGGTATAACATCATCAATACTACTTGATTCAAGCTGACTACCAACAAATGATATAGTCATGATTAATAAATGATACTTAAGAATGGAAATTTTTGTTTTTTTTATTTCGTACCTCTTTATTAATCCCTTAATAATAACAATAACAATCAAAGATGCAGAGTTGGGTTTAAAAAATCATAACAACGATGTTTATGGAAAATAAGAAATTATTTGTAGCACACTAATTCTTAATCAAATTTGCTTTAAGATGCTTTTTATTTCATGATGATATCTCAATTCGTTCTTGAGATACGATCTCTTAAAATTTATATTTTATTTCCTGATCAGAATTTTGAAACAAGTTTCAGATTAACCTAATAATTAATTTTATCAAAAAAATTTGTAAGGAATAGTTAATTAGAATTAAGAAAGCAATAATTTTTATTAATTATTTTTCGATATTGTAATATAGATTACAAGAAGATTTTGTTAATATATTATTTAATCTCGAATTTCTTGCTATGGCTGCAGTTATTTTGATTAATACCATTCAAGTTTTGCGAAAACGATGTGAGTTTCTCGAAATGATTACCATTAAGTGATATTAAACAACTCGTTGACAATGAAAGATTTAAATTTATTGAAGAAAATATGAAAATTATTTTGAAATTGGTTCGTAACATTTGAATTGAAGCAGTGGGAAATAACCGTAATAATGTTATTCCAAATTTATATCATAAGCAGTGAATTGCATATCATAATTTTTTCATTAATAATGTATGCCTACGTGGTTGAATTATTAATCATACGAATACAAAACGTTAAAATCATGATTAACAACACACATTTAACGAGAAATAAGAAAGAAAATTTTAAGAGTTTGCGACCTATCGTCTTGTATCATCAAGATACTTTCAGGTATACTAATCTTGGAGTTTATTTTACAACGTTTACGATATCATTTATGATTTTAGCACGTATAAATGCGTTAATTTTGCGGGCTGTATTGCGCCTACAAAATTTTGTGTTTTACTTTGTTTACCAATCTCGGTCACCGCATTTGGTTTAGTTTGAGTTCTCGTATGAGTTAAAATCATTTAATTCCTAATACAGTGGAACCTCGGGTTACTAGTTTAATTCGTTCCGGCAGGTTGCTCGTAACCCGAAATACTCGTAACCCGAAACGAGTTTTCTCATAAGAAACAATGTAAATGCAATTACATAATTAGCTGCTTTATCTGGATGATGATCCTCTACAAACGTCTTTAATTTTAGCCACATGGAAGTATGATCTTTAATCTCAGCCAATGTCAGTCTTTTTTTCTCACTTTCTACTTCTTTGTCTTCGTCTACCTCTTCTAGCTCATATTGTTGCATATGCAAGTCCTTCAACTCATCAATGCTGAGTTCCTCGTTATGTTCTGCAATGAGTTCATTAATGTCTGACTCGTTTACTTCAAGACCAAGAGATCTTCCTAGAGACATAATTTCTTCATAAGGCTCTGTTTCTTTTGAAATAGGTTCCATTTCATGATTTTGAACCATATCAGGCCACAATTTCCTCCAAGCAGAGATTAATGTTCTTTTTGTTACCTCTTTCTTCCAAGCTTTGTCAATTAATTTCAAACATGCAATAATATCAAAGTGATGCTTCCAAAACTCTTTTAGGGTAAGTTGCGTAGTTTCAGTTATGTCAAAACAAAGCTTAAAAAGGCCCTTTGTATACAATTGGCTGCAGGAGGGAAGTAGCGTTGGGGGGAAGAAAAGTTACTTTTATGAAGTTAAATTCTTTCTTAATATTATCCTGAATTCTTTTTGTATGAGCAGGCGCATTATCCATAAGCAGCATTGCTTTTAACGGAAGGTTATTATCAAGCAGATATTGTCTTATTTCAGGACCAGCAGCAGAGTTTATCCATTCTGTAAAAAGCACTTCATCGACCCATGCTCTCCTGTTTGACCTCCACATTACGGGTAGTCTACTTTTTTGCACTTTGCATCTCTTAAACGCTCTCGGGTTCTCCGAAGAGTAAACTACGAGTGGCTTTATCTTCTTGTCGCCGCTCGCATTTGCACAAAAGAGCACTGTCAAACGGTCTTTCATTGGTTTATGACCTGGTAACTTGGTCACCTCGTGTGTGACAAACGTTCTATTTGGCATTTTTTCCAGAAGAGACCGGTTTCATCGCAATTGAAGACTTGCTGAGGAATGTACTGCTCCGTTTCAATAAGTGTTTTGAATTCACTTATAAATTCCTCTGCTGATATTATATCGGCACTGGCTGCTTCTCCATGACGGAAGATGCTATGTATTCGCGTTCTTCTCTTAAATTTTTCAAACCATCCTCGACTTGCTTTAAATTCAGCAGAATCACTTGAAGAATCTGGCATATCTTTTAATAAATTGGCATGTAACATCTTAGCCTTTTCGCAGACAATGCCTTCGCTAATGCTATCGCCTGCAAGTTGCTTTTCGTTTATCCACACTAATAACAATTTTTCTACTTCTTCCATCACACGTGGTCTTTGCTTCGTTGATACGTTTACTGTGAGACCCTTTGCTGCATCTATGCTTTTAATTTTCTCTTTATTTTTAAGAATGGTACAGATAGTCGATGTTGACTTATTATACTGCTTTGCTAACTCGATAACACGCATACCTCCGTCATGTCTCTTAATAATAATAATAATAATAATATATCTTTATTGTGCCTTCCACGGAATACAAATAACATTGATGATTTCCTTTTTCACTTCCAGAGTGATAGCCTCTTTCTTCATTCCATCAACACTAGATTTTTTCTTCATGGGCATTTTTTATGTTAACCTGTAAAACATGGTGTTGAAAATTTCACAAAAACATTTTGTAGTCATATTTTTTCTTTTTGAAAAAATGCAAAACCACCAGGACTACAAAATTTCTAAACATACTTACAATAAAGAAAATATTGAGGATTCCTTTAAATCTAAGTTTATTCATACAATACCCAAAATCTAGCCAAAACACGATAACACCTTTTCCAAAAGCTCCTGCGCTAACGAAAGCTCCGCTGCGACTGCACGTCCGCGACTGCAGTCAAAACACGTATCAAGGCTACAACGTATAGTCTCCGCTATTTCGGGTGGTTTTTATGACTTAATTGCAGTCATGTAACGAACAAAGGCGGGGTTGTGAACAGGTACTTTAAGAACCCCAAAATTCGGCGAGAGTTGTTCTGACCCGCATTAACGGAAATTACAAAAACGTAGTTAAATACCATTACTTTGTGTAAAAATTTATTTATAATTTGTATTTTTCAAATCTTATCAGATTATTTAATTTTTTTCAATAATTTTTATATGTATTATTACTTTATATATTGTTATTTTTTTTTTAAATAACAGTATTTTTTATATTATTTATCATTTAAGTTTAAATAAATTTATATTCGCGCCTGCCCGCCAAGCAGCCCGTAAACCGAAAATTTGCTCGTAAGCCAAGACAAAAATTTTGCCGGCTCAAAATTCGTAAACCGAAAAACTCGTAAACAGAGACGCTCGTAACCCGAGGTTCCACTGTATACTAATTTTTATAGGAAAAGAATTTAATAAGTTGCTTTAACATCACTAAGACCCTTGATTATATAATGTATAGATAGCCCAGCTAACATAAAATTTTTGCAGCAGTTTGAAGTCAAGGTTTATATACAGGTGTATCTGAATGATGTGCTCAAACTTCAGGGGGTGATTCTTTAGACAANGTGTGTGTGGGGAGTAGTGCGAAAGCAAGATCCGTAGCCCCACTCTCTACCTACTATTCCACCGCAAGGTTCAGATACGAACGAATGGACCTTGCTAGAGACACATTCCAAAGCGTTACTTGTTGGGTGCGGACCAGATAAAATATTGGGTATTCTAGAGTTAACACCTGTAGCAGTTCCTTAACCCTTTTTATTGAGAACATAGCTGACTATATTTAGCAATAAATAGAGGCAAAGTAAGTTAGTTCGGTCGAGTTTTAATTCCATTACGTTCGTTTTGTCGCTAACTCCGCAAGTATCGTCAATGTTACTCGTATTAAAATTCATTATTCGTAATTTTCATTGTAATAATTATTAAAAATTATAAAAAAAATACAAATAATAAACTCAAAGTTTTTAATTGAAATATATTTGAGTAAGTTACTTATACCAAAAATCGAATAGGCAGGTAGAATCACCACCTTCCATTTCTATTTTTTGGAAACAATCCCTCAGTCACTCCCACGTGGTTTTTGTTAAAATGTTTTGCCATAAATAGGTAAAGTTGTTTCACCCTTTTTGACACTCACAAATTTTTAAAATAACACTACGATTTTTTTCTAACAAAAAGATTTCAATTTCGAACAGATAGTAGCCTGATTTGGTTTTAATGAGGGGCTTATTTTATTTTTTCTATATTCCATATAATTTCGTGGTTTAGTAGGATGCGGTTTTAACCAAAATATGTCAAATAATTGCTTTTGTCGGATCCTGTTATCAGTTTTTCAAAGTTATGTATCTCTAATTTCTTTAGAGCGATTTACACGAATTATAAATTTAAAAGAAACAGAAAGAGAAGTCCAGGAAATAGTTGTCCTTTATCACAAAGGTTAAATTGTTACAAAAATAAATACAAATTGAATACGAGATTTCCCTCTAATACGAGATTTCTGTATCGAATATAACCCTGTAGGTACTAGCAATAAGAACTTGCTATTTCTGATTGTACCTGACCAAGAATTTGTACCTTTTCCATTAAGTGTGACGCAGATGATTCGTGCAACCTTAGGCATAGTACAAATACGGTGGTCGTTTTAGGAACTATGTGTATGCAGCAAAAATCTATGTTTAATCAAGAAAACGATTTCGTATAGCATTTCTCGTACGCTAGCTCCAAACCACGATTGTTCCAAATGAAATTACCCTATTAATTTTCATTTCCATTTTAGATAGATTACAGGTTAGGACAATGGCGGCGAGATCTGAAAAATATGGTCAATACTCTAGTACCAACGTTAGAATATTGTTATTCTTAATACGCTGTCGTAGAATAGGCCTATTTTGGTTCAAGGCTGCACATTTAATATGCAATATGTATGCGCAGAAAGATT